CGCCTCACGCCAGGATACTCCGCCAGTTCGCAGTCTCATTGAACTGTCGCACAAGCATACAGCAGCGCTTCCGCAACATGCCAATGAACAAGTGAAGCTCCCCGTTACTGTATCAGCTTAAAGAGCAGCTGCAATTGGCAATCTTTGTTGGACCCAGACCATCAACGGTCCCCAAGGCCTGTGGGCAGCACATTGCGTCCGTTCCTGAACTTCCCGGACCTTCCCTGGATGCTGCTGCTAAATTTGCACAGCGACAGGACTTCAGATGTCGAGTACCGCACAATGCCGACTTCTATCAACTCCTAACGACTTACGGGGCCTGAATCAGCGTTTCGGCTGCAGGGCCTGCCGGTTCGTGTATGGTCCATGGGACTGGGACCATTGGGACATCTGGGACCTGGACATGGGACTTGACTGACACTTGAAATCCTTTCAATATATGCACATAACATTCTCTCTCTCTCTCTCTCTCTCTCTCTCTCTCTCTCTCTCTCTCTCTCTCTCTCTCTCTCTCTCCATATATGGTCACATATCTATCAATCAAAAAAACGCACACATTGCCAGAAAACGAAGAAAGTGGCAGACAGCAAGAGGCACGCACACAAACTGCTCTTTTGCATTTTCCTGTGCAGCTGTTTTTTTTTCCTTCTTTCTTTTCTTTCATTCGTTTCTTTTTTCTTTTGTCTTTTCTGAAACTTTTCAGAGGGTTTCTTTTTTTTTTTTTTTTTTTTTTTTTTTTTTTTTTTGTCCAGACTCCAGGGTGTAGTAGAGGGTGGAAGTCAGGCCTTAGGAGGTGCCCGTAGTACCCATCCACCGGTAGGTCAGATGGATTGTGAGGGCCCAGGGGGAGTCGCCTCAAGGTGGCACCATGATGACTTGACCTATGCTAATGCTCAGGATCGCAAGTCGTAATCTGCACCAACGCTTACCGGACTGACCCAAACATCTCCGTGCAGACATTACCCTAACTCTAACGTTAAGGACAACCCAGGCAGAGGTGGGGTCCACGCATGTGCGGTCAACCCCATCGGTGCCTCATCCCGCAGACTCTATGGGCAGCGAACCACCCTTCCACTAAGATGTGATATCCCGCCCTCCGCTTTCCTAAGCATTATGCCTCCTACCCAAGGCTCCCCCAGCGATCCACAGTCTCAGCTAACTCCCCCAATGAGAATTCCCATGGGCCCCAGCCTGGATAAAGCACCACCCACAGGCATCGTGAGATACCTGCGGGATGAAGAATGCCCGGCACCTGCCCTATACTAACACCCAGTGTCAGTAGGATTACCCACCGAGATGGACCCTACCGTAGTCTTGGTTCGCTCTGTGTGGACTCTCGTACGGGTGCCATAATAACGGGAGACATACTAGCCGTACCCAGGCTCACCATGGTACCCCCACAGACTAGTACAGTCTGACGAGACTGACAGATCGGAGGGTCCAAGTTGTTACACAGGGATATCGACGGTTTCCACAGTTTCTACTGATGTGTAAAGGGCCAAGGGCCCTATCGGCGACTCTACTGTTATGTAGTCCTCAACGATCTCCGCGGTAAGAGTGACCCCCTTAGTCCACCCTAGCCTATTCCTCCCCCCCCCCCCCCCCCCCCTCCACTACCTGCCCATGGTGAGGACAAGATAAGGCCCTGATCATCAGATCCCTCTAAGACCAAGCACTCAAGCAGCCCTCCCATGGCCCAATCCAGCATAATACAACCATGGACCTAACCCCCTTGGGCGGTGCGCAGGCAGTGTCTGTAAATCTACCATGCGTCATCCCAAAGGGTGTGTGTGAATGGCTATCCGTTATGAAAGTGCTGCCGGTGTATGTGCGCGAGGCAACGGAGTTTTGAACCCTCAACCTCATACCACAATGCATATTTCCAACCGGTGCTCTAACCACTGAGTTAACGGCCATCCACCCTTTTCAGAGTTTTCACAGTTTCTGTTTTTTTTTCCCTCTCCCTTTCCTGTGCCTCTAATGTAAAAGGCTTGCCACGTTGATGTAGTTGAGCGTAAGTTGCCTAGATCCCCATATGCCATCATGGCCACTTGCACACTATGAAAAAGAGGCGAACAGAGAGGGTTTAAACTTTAAAGATAGAGGAGAGAAGAAAAGGAAGGTGAAGGGACAGTAAGGAGTGTATAATAAAGATGAGAGAATAGGGAAGGGTAAGAGAAGACTCACCAGTTAGTCTGTCCTCGGCGACAGAGAGGTCATGAAATGTAGGGATGAGATGTGTGATGGCATGGAAGACCTCATTGAGCATTCTCAGCACAATAGTTGCCACCATGGCTGGATCTAACCATCCCCACCAGACCACTCCTGAGAACTGGCATGTCGGTTGCTGGCTACGAGGAAGGAACAAGGGGCATCACAGAAGACCATACATTTACAATAACGTCCCTGGCTGCAAACTGGACATATGATGTCCGGATCAGAAGGAGCGCACAGTCAGGCAAGGAACTGTAGCCCTTCCCGCACACACATCCAGAAACCCTGGCATTATAGTGGTCGTGACAGATCCACTGACACCTACAGCCAATTGTAGAGTGTCTGTAGCTGTGCCGATGAGAAGGCCGCAGTGTATTGACGCATTGTCCTGCTGCTGCACAGAGGCATAGCAGTACTCCTTGACATAAAAGAGTGTCCAGACTAGTCGCTGAGGTTACAGAACATCACCATTGTGAGGAAGATGGTCTATATTGCTCATGGCATGGGCCATGGTGTCGTCATTGATGGGCTGCAAGGACAAGGTTATGAGTGCCGTCAAGCGATCATTCACCACCTCGCGGCTGGCACGCAGTCTCTCTCTTGAACGAAAGACACACCGGCGGCGCCCGTGCCAATTTTTACGCACGAGCCCAAGCGGTTAATTCTGCGTCGTCGGGATCCGGTGTCGATCACCAGTCACGAACCAAACACAAGGTAACGTGTGGTCGCCAGTCGCACACGCACCTAATTGCCCGATTGTGAAGTCGGGACCACCAAGCCGCAGCCCCATGCAGAAAAACACTGACGGGCTGCAAGGACAAGGTTATGAGTCAGATGCCTAGATTTGACTACGTCAAAAGCATGCTCCTATGATGGGTTTTGAAGTTCATTGCCATACTATTGATCAAGGGAAGGACAGGAAGGCAATTACACATATCCAAGACGTATTTGAGCCCTTGATATTGTCGGGATCTCAGTTTGACATTCAATCTCTGGACATCCATCCACATCAAAGACGCGCTTGCTCATTTTGATATTTTGTAAGGTTTTGGCCATAGTAGTCCAGTGGATGATTTAGGTAGCATCCTAACATGGAACTGATACCCAGACCACAAGCGTCTGCATGGATACCGAGAAGCGGACAGGGGAGAGGTGAGCGGGGAAGACAGCATATTATCCTGGGGGATAGTGCATATGTGATAGCTGTGATCATCTTTAGTGCACCACAAGGCCCGCAACACCATATTCTCGCAAATTTCACAGCGGTACCGACATGGTAATATGGCATATTATTAAAATGATAAAATATGGGCAAACTATAATGTTTATTCTTTACTGTTTTATTAACCATAATCATATTGGGAATTATGGAATGGCATTTAAAGATATTCGTGCAAAATAATATCCTATGTGCCAGTATGTGGACAGTTTGGCAGACGGCAATCTGTGGACAGGACTGAACGTGAGCTGTGGATCAGACATGTCCGCAGCTGCTATGATTATGACCATGAGACACAAACAATAACAAAAGGTATCGCACCGCTAATCACCATCTGGGAGCACAAGCAAGTTGGAGGCATGTGACATGATGCCCGCCTGTTTCATGTAGGCACCCAAAGGTGTGGCTTGATCACCCACTCGCTCGCCACTTGAGATTCGCCGAAGGATCCCATCCATGACCACCTTTCCTTCCACCTCCACAAAATACTTGGCTCCTCCCTGTTTGCAAAGAAAAATGGCAATGACAGACAAGGTGAATGAACTTCAATACAGAGGAAAACAGGGGCAAAACAAGCTCGAAACAAGTTAGGGAAAAGAAGAAAGAAAATGAGAACAAATTTCGACAAAACAAGAAGTACATTCAGCATGCCTCAGTTGCACACACCTATGACCATTGACCAACAGCAGAAGAGTTCGGAGATTGACCTGATACAATTAAAAAAAAAGACAGTTAAAAAGTAAGGTTTTTTTTTTTTTTTTTTTTTTTTTTTTTTTTTGCAAGGATCAGCATTTGTATTAAAAATGTTGGAAACCGGGTCCAGCGTCCCTTACATCAGATATGCTTACTCGAGGCTTCTCTCTGTTATGATCGAGAGATCCTGAGACAGCTGCATTGATTACAACCCGATTGGGAGGATTTACCATTGCCTCACCACTGCTTTTTCACCATAACTGAATCTTCTATTTCCTGAACCATCCTGACAGCATTGATTGTTTCCTTTGGAAGGATTAACTGTCAGATCTTTACCTGACTTTTTTGCTTTGTGCTCTGCCCTGTTACTCTGTCTCTAGCTATGCCAATAAGCATTCTAGATGCCGAAGGAAAACTGAGCTTCTGAGGTTTTCTTCTCAATCTGAAGTGTACTGTCAAATGCCTTCCCTTTTTTTTCTTTTTTTTTTTAATTGAACAGGTCCCTATGGTCCTGGCTCCATATCCATTCTGGGGAGCGTCAGTCCGGTTACTTTTCCCCCGGCAAGTCAAAGAATAAATACATGGTGAACAATCTCATGCTTCTATCTGTATGGCCGAAGGAAGCCTGACCAGCATTGATTACTCCCCGGTGGAGGATTGACTGTCAGCTTGCCCTTTTCCCGCTATTCCTCTCAGAACCGTGTCCGGTCCTGTCTGAAAACGCTTTGCATAACAAGAATCGCAGGAGGGTCAGCATCCATGACACCAAGCTGGAGCACCATGACACCCAACATGTTCAGTCTGTCTTGTCCTTTTTGATGTTGGGTGTCCTGGTGCTCCCGCTTAATGCCACTTCTTCCATAACAGCCTGTTGTCTGCTATGGTGGCGACCTTGCCCCTTATCATCCAATCCCTCAGGAATGTCCATCTCTTGATGGCTTGTCTCTCAGGTCTGTGCTTTGTCGAGGAGATTATCCTGCGCCAGCTACTCCGGATTTCAGTCTCCACCATCCTCAGCAGTAGGGTCCACATTTCCTCTCTTACAACTTCTGTCTTTCCGATTGTATGAGTACACCTGTGTTTCCAGATGACCCATAGTGCCAGCTTCCTGAGTAGCTTGAACCAGATTTCCTTACTGCCCTTGAGGTCCGGGGGATTGTTAGGGAGGAGTAGGATGGTTAGAGGGGTAGTGGCGGGGGCTGGTGAGGAGAAAAGGGTGAGCCATAGGGTCCGGATTTTGCTCAAGATCCAGGCTGCTTCGGGGCAGAAGAGAAGGCAGTGCGGAATGTCTTCTGGTGTGTCAGTGTTACACATCTGACATAGTTCGGAGCTATACGGGTCTGAGTGTTCTCTCACTTTGTGGAGCCACTGGTTGACAGGTAGGGCCGCGCGGGCTATCAGCCACTGGATGCTACGGAGTCTTACCGGTCTGATGAGGAGGTATTTCACCCATGGGATGGTCAAAGAGACTGCCGAGTTGACCTACAGTAGCCTTCTCCATTTCTCTAACAGTCTGGGGTTCGGGTTTACCGTCTGCAGTCCAAGATCGTACCCGAACGTAACGTCGTATTCAAATATTGTTCTCGTTTTTCTCATTTTGTCTTGCCTCCAGATCCATTCCTTGGGGTGGAATTCCAAGTCCTTGATGCTGAGTTCTGGTTGAAAGATCGCCCATGGCTTAGTCTGAGGAACCCTGACCTTCCTGAGTACGAAAGTTTCTAAGATCTCATAGTGGTGGTCAGAGTTTAGAATTATTGATTTCTGGAGGTTCTGACTGTCGGTCGGGTACGAGACGAACTTGGCCCGGTAGCTTGTTCCCTTGAGGCGACTGATGAACCAGTACGCTCTCCTGGGTTGGGTCTGAGCGATGAGTAGGCCCCAGTCCCCGGCTTTCCATGTGAACTCTTCTTTTAGCAGGGCTATCCGTCGGTGTGGGATGACCTGTCGTACCAGAGAGATATTGGTTTCGAGAGAGTGGCACACCTCCAGGAGGATTCACATCTCTTGTTGTGTTACTCAATCCCTTAGTTCCTCTGACCATAGGTGTTTGACCTGCCACACCCCTTTTTCTATCCAGTACAGCCATCTCCGGTCTTTGGGGTGCAGAGTCCAGGGGTTGTCCTCTATGACCGTGATCCATGGGTTGCAGAATAGGGGCTGCCTGAGCACTTCCTCCTTGCTGTTGGGAGCGCCGTGTTTACTTGGCAAGAGTCTGCGCCAGGCCTTCAGGATTGGCTTCCAATACGGGGGCTGGCCTGAACCGGGGATTGAGGTAGGGTACTCCTTCAAGGCTTTCCTGTCCCAATCGACCATTCTCTGGCCATTATCCAGAACAGGCCGCTCATGTTGGGAGGGGTCCTAACAGGTGCCCGGCTCCTTATGCCGTCTAAGGCCATTTTGGTCCACGGCAAGACCTGTCTGATTAGGATTTTGATAATCCATTTTATCTGGAGTGCAATTGCCTCCTGTTTAGGGTCGATTATACCCAGGCCTCCTTCCGTTGGTTTCCTGATGATGTAATGCCAGGCTACTTCGTTGATGCAGGTAGTTCTGTTGGGGTCTCCTGTCCACAAGAAGCATCTGACTCTGGCTTTGAGGTTTTTTAGGTCATCGTCCGGGGGGACCTCATAGAGGCCATGTACCACAGGGTAGAGAAGATGGACGTATTGATGATTAGCGCTCTCCCGATTAAGGGCGCCTGGGCCTTTTTGCATGGGGCCAGGCGTGTTATTACCCTTGCAATTAGATTATGTCCCGTCTTTGTTTACTATGATGCCCAGGTAGCGAAGTGCTTGGTAACCAGTGGACCAGGATGGGGTACTGTGAGTGTCTTCTGGTTGGGGGGAGGTTCCATCTGCTAGCCACAACCCTTCAGTTTTGGACCAGTTGACCTTCATTTCGGATGCCAAACGGAAGGCTTCCATGGCTCTGGAAAGGGCTTGGAAGGATAAGTTGTTGGCGCAGATGAGAACCGCGAGATCATCAGCGAACATAAGCGGTTTGAATTGCTCCTCGGTGAGGCCGAACTTCACCCAAGGCTTCTTCGGCTGTCCAGCTTCCGTCATCGACGCGGTTTTCGCCTTTTTCTTTCTTGAGTTGGTGCTTCGCGGCGGAAGAGCATTGACTTGGTCTACTTCACTTGACGCTGAAGTCAATGTCAGGTCTTCACTTGGTCCATTGGATTGGACTGCAGCAAAGGGCTGCGTCCGTTGCCCCTTTCCTTTCTCCACAAAAATTGGCTGCCCTTGTCTGTCGTTAGCCACACGCCAATTGGTTTGGATGATTGGCCGAGCACGGTCGATGATTGCGTCAAAGTCCTCGTACTCGTCCTCATCCCCAAGGGCCGAGCTCAAGGAGTCAACCGATCGGACGAAGAATTCGCACTTCATATGCTCGAACGCCACGTTCAAGCCGAGGGTGGCAACCATCTTCTGCCATTCGGTCAACCACTCTCGCGAAGGTTGGGTCCCTTGGAAAATACGGAAGATCTGGTTCACTGCACATGCTTTGGCGTTGTCGACGATGAACCACTTCTTCCATTTGGCAGTGAGATCTTCCCACGGGATCTTGGCGTGCAGGCTCGCCATTGTCACCTCCTCGCGTGTTGCCCAGTGGTTGAGCCAAATTTGACATGCGCCGGTCACATTGATGGAGAGTGCCGCTATCCTCAACTGGTCGGGCACGCGGTGGATGTCGATGGCGGTAGTGAACCCTTGCCACCAAGCCAGTGGGTCTTGCTTGTGGTAGTCGTTGAACTTCTTGATGTTGAAGTTCGCCATCTTGTACGGTCACTGGTCGCTGCCACCTGGTGGGTGCTGCTGCAACTTGCAGACGTCAGCCTTCAGCGTGGTAAGCTTCTGGCTGATCGTGGCGGGTCCTGGCGACCACATGGTCAATCCGCTGCTCCAGCTGCCGTCTTGGCATGGCTAAGACCAGGTCCGCTGCCTGGTGTGGCGGCGTCCCTGGTCTCCAAGTTCTCGAGGCGTGCATAAAAGCTGCGATTGGTGCCATCTTGCTGGTCCTTGTCGCTGTCAATCACTCGCGCCAACCGCTGCAGCTCTTGCTGCTGCCAATTGCACATCGTGATTAGCTGTGCGATCATCTTGGAGATCTCCTCCTTGGTCTTCTCGATGTCCGTCAGGTCGTTGTTGTTCTCCGTCGGGGTAAAGTGTCATTTTCTAAGTGTCGCATCATACTCCACTTCGCGCTGCTGCAGCGTCGAGCAGGCCTTCAGCCGAAGTTGGCTGATTGCTGCTGCGGCCTCGGCCTGCTGTCGCCGCTGTTCCGCTGCTGCCTGTCCGGCAGCACGGATGCGATTGGCTTCAGCTTCGGCTGGACTCTTCTTTTCCTCATCGATGAAGGCCAAATGGTTGGCCACCTGAAGCTGGAAAGCATCGACAGTCTCATTGGGTCCCTGTCCTTGTAGACCGGGCAGGCCCAGACCGGGTGCGCCTTGGTACGATGTGCTCCCAGGTGGGCTCACTGCGGCTGCTGCTGCTGAGGCCATGCCTGCAGTTCCAGGCTGTTGACGTCCAGCGGCAGTCTGCTGACGTACTGCGGCGTCAGATGCGGGAGTGCAGAGAATTGTTGCGCTGCGATTCGTGCTCTGTACCGGAGAATAGCCCAGCCTCAGCCTTTGTGCTGTTGTGGCACTTCTGCTGCCGTGGCACTCTGCTGACGTGGCACTGTTGCTGATGTGGTGCTCTGCTGACGTGGCGCCGCTGCTGGTGTGGCACTCTGCTGACGTGGTGCTCTTGCTGACGTTGTGCTCTGCTGACGTGGCACCTCTGCTGACGCGGCACTCTGCTGATGTGGCACTGTTGCTGGCATGGCACCTTTGCTGGCGTGGCACTTACCAAGCCATCAAGGACAAGGTATGAGGGGAGGGGAAGGCAGGCAGGCAATCTTACATTCCCAAACCGGAATCGCCCTCTTAAGGTAGGAAAGACACTAATCAACCGCAAAAGAAAAAAAAAAATTGAATTTCCTGTTGATGTAGTGTCTGTCCTGGAATGTCAGTGGGCAGGAAGGCGCCCTGCTGGCATTCAGGTAGTACAGAAATTAAAAGAGAAAATTTTGCGAAAATTTTGAGAGATCTTTTTCTTTTTTTTTTGAAAGAGTGGGAAATGCTGTAATTCAAAATTTTGAATTTCAACTGTGCAGCAATCAATCAATCAATCAATCAATCAATCAATCAATCAATCAATCGGTCAATCGAAGAATTGAGGAATCAAGATGGGTACTATGGCTGAGCAGATGCTTGTCTTGAGGTCTGCTCTGATACTAAACTGTCGCATACCTAATCGGCATCGATCAGAACCAAGAATCGACCTCTCAGAGACAATACAAATATAGCACAGCAGAAGACTGAAATACCAAGATCTGACTCAGCATGGACAGTGACAGGACCTGACAGCACACACCATCGCTCTGAGCGAGGGGACTCGGCGCGGCAATCATGGAAGGAGCGCTGAGTCCGGGCCATACATGGACGAAGGAGGGAGGAGAGACACAGGGGAGGAGGGAGATAGGGGGATTCAGCCACCATAGCCCGATGAACCCAGTCTCCAATGTATCCCCAATGTCGCTGCTCACACAATGTCAAGTCGCAATGTCACTGAACTGGGCAATGCCCGAATGTCAAATGTCGCTTGTCGCTGCTCACACAATGTCAAGTCGCAATGTCGCTGAACTGGGCAATGCCCGAATGTCAAATGTTGCTGCTCACACGATGTCAAGTCGCAATGTCACTGAGCTGGGCAATGCCCGAATGTCACCAAGTCTCGATATCAACTCTCTCTCTCTCTCTCTCTCTCTCTCTCTCTCTCTCTCTCTCTCTCTCTCTCTCTCTCTCTCTGCAGTTGAAGAAGAAGAAGAGGAAGAAGGAGACGGAGTTCCCGTGGAGAAGAGGAGCAGCGATGGAGGAACAGACAGAGGGAAAGAAGAAGACGAAGCAACCCTCTCTCTCTCTCTCTCTCTCTCTCTCTCTCTCTCTCTCTCTCTCTCTCTCTCTCTCTCTCTCTCTCTCTCTCTCTCTCT